CACATGTGCACACTATAACAGCATCTCCTCTTCTTTATCTTCTTCAAAAGGCTTAGTCCCAATAAGACACAAAGTGTGTGCTTTTCCAGCTACGCTCTCACCCTTTGGTTAACAGAAGCCTTGTAACCCAGCCACATCGCTGAACAACATCAACAAGCACAATGATCTGGATCACTGAAGCAATCTAAGGTGATGGTCAACCCATGCCTAAGCCGTTTGAGCACCTAACACCCCCTAAAAGTTAGTAGTGATGTCCCACGCAGACTTGAACCACTTCGATACCTGCCACCCTGCCACCCCTGAAAGCTACGCGACACCCGCAATTGCGCAACCAGCGGTCTGTCTCTCCTGCATGACGCAAGCGACTCAACAAATCAATCCCAGTGAAGCCTCCTACTCGCAACATAACCAGCACCCACATCCATCCCCACATCCCCTTGAAATTTTGAGAACTAACCTGATATCGAATTTTATCCAACGCATCGGAGGAGTTCGAGATTAGTTCTCTCAAAAAGATTTCCTTGTTGCTGTAGAAAGTGTTAATAATCAAGCTCATAAGCTGAGCAATCTCAGCTTGGAATGCAAAGGTTTCGCCCTTGTCGTCAGACATCTCTGAAAACTGGAACATCAGAATATCCAAAACAAGACGAACACGAGACCTTCCAACGGAACGAAACTGAGAACTACACAAACTCCTGACAGAAACGATCTACGACCGGAACGACACTCAATCATCAAACCGCAAGATTAAAAAGCAAAGAAAAATATGCCTGAACAGCAAGACCAGCTTCAACAACACGCCGGTAGAACACGTCCGAGTGAGGAGACCAACCACACCGCTGCTGCTGACCTATATACTGAGCCTGAAAGTTCTAGAGAATTGGGTGGAGCCCAGCTCTGTGATTGGTCGGTTTCGCCTCATGGGCGGTGCATAGAATGTTCGAGAATGCTGGCTCTTCAAATTAGCCGTCAAATGTATTGCGGCGGGTGCGATGTGACACAGAATTTCGCAATTACCGTCCTTGTACTTTCAAATCAATTCGCTGAAAACATGGATTGAAGTATTCCTGCGATGTTTTGATAGCTTGGTCCATCTTGTGTACAATTTTCAGCTTATCGTGAATAGATTAGTTGTCCCGTGGTGGAGCATTTCCTATTTTGGCCTGATCTTGTTGAGAACGCGAATAATTTTAGTGAGAATGAATTTTGTTAAAGCTGTAGTGTAGAAATAATCGTTCGGGTGTGCAACCTGTATTTTGTCTATTACTTGTTTACTGTCTGGATCAAGCTTAAAGTTTCTTAGTGTAATTCGAACTTTTCCTGGAGATTCTCAAGGAAGATTATTTTAATTAGGTTTTCGTCAAACAACGTCTCTCTATGATAAAATAGACACCAACGTGGAGCAGTGTGGCTCCAGGCGTATGCAATTTTTATTTGCTCTGGAATTCGTCCCTCTGCGTTAGGCTTTAGTCCACCAGGGCTGCCCATTGCTCACCTATCCGTACCACGAGACCGAAACGGGAGGATGTATGGATTAATTCTCTAAAGATCAGACCAAACCATAAGCATTACCCCAGCTTCCTTACAAACTTTCACATACGTCTATGAACCGTTCATATTGGTTCCGTTCTGCGCAAAGCAGGTGAGTGCAATAGTTATCGCTCATATTTTTGCAAGAGGAAGCGACAGCCGTGAGCAGTGTTAAACTTGCTTGTAGCATGAAAAGAAGTTGAAAGGAGAAAATGGAATTTTTGCCATCACTGCAGGACCTGGATCCCTCACCTTATGGCCCTGTCTAATCACTTAAGCCATTTCTGATATTCTCTGACCTACTAGCCATCTCATTTATTCTTCATGGTAGAATTCAGAGAACCCTATGCCTTAAGTTTAGACTCTATGAATAAGAACAGCTCATCCACATGTCTCAGGACCTATCATCGCGACATTACGTCATCGTTTTTTTGTTGATTTGGAGCCTCACGAGTACACTATAAGCATTCCTTACTCTATCTTCTTCAAAAGGCTTAGGCCCAATGAGACGCAAAGTGTGGGCTTTTTCGGCAACGCTCTCACCCTTTGGTTAACAGAAGCCTTGTAACCCAGCCACATCGCTGCACAACATCAACAAACACAATGATCTGGATCAAGCAATCTAAGGTGGATGGTCAATCCATCTAGCCGTTGACACCTGAACACTCCCTAAAAGCTTAAAGTAATGTCCACGCAGAATGAACACTCGATACGGCACCCTGAAGTATCGCGACGACCCGCAAGTCGCAACCAGCTGGTCTGTCAGCTTCTTGCCTGCATGAAGCTAAGCGATCTCAACAGATATCAATCAGAGAAGCTCCTAATGCACACATCATCATGCACAGCATCCCATCCATCGCCCATCCCGGCGAAATTTTGAGAAGTCTGACCTTATATCGAATTTTATCCAACGCATCGGAGGAGTTCGAGATTAGTTCTCTCAAAAAGATTTCCTTGTTGCTGTAGAAAGTGTTAATAATCAAGCTCATAAGCTGAGCAATCTCAGCTTGGAATGCAAAGGTTTCGCCCTTGTCGTCAGACATCTCTGAAAACTGGGAACATCAGAATATCCAAAACAAAAGAACACGAGACCTCCAACGAAACGAAACTGAGAACTACACAAACTCCTGACAGAAACGATCTACGACCGGAACGACAAATCGCAGAATAAAAAGCAAAGAAAATAGCTGAACAGCAAAGACCAGCTTCAACAACACGCCGGTAGAACACGTCCGAGTGAGGAGACCAACCACACCGCTGCTGCTGACCTATATACTGAGCCTGAAAGTTCTAGAGAATTGGGTGGAGCCCGGCTCTGTGATTGGTCGGTGCCTATCGGCATTATAATTTCAGAATCCGGCTCTTCAAATAGCCGTCAATTATGGCGCGGGTGTGATGTACACAGATTTTCGCAAAAAAATTTAAAGTCGTTGAACTTTCAAATCATTCACTGAAAACAGGATTGAAGTATCCGCGATGTTGATAGCTTGGATCCATATTTTGAAATTTTCGGTGCTAACTTAGTTGGGGGGGCCACGCGGCGGCGCGGCAGTCTGCTCACCTGGGCTCTCTCTAACGAGACAGTGTAAACTCGAACATTCCAGCTTTTCACGCATGTCAAGTGACTGCCCCCACCCCCACCCCCCTAGACTGGCTACACTCCCCCTGGCCCACGGATTTCCGAAGATGCCAGGTGAGCAGACTGCCGCGCCGCCGTCCCCCCAACGAATTTAGCACCCATTTCAGCTTATCGTGAATAGATTAGTTGCCGTGGTGCCAGCATTTCCTATTTTGGCCTGATCTTGTTGAGAACGCGAATAATTTTAGTGAGAATGAATTTTGTTTAAAGCTGTTGTGTAGAAATAATCGTTCGGGTGTGCAACTGATGTTTCTAATTAATGTTTTTCTGTGATCAAGTTAGAGTTTCTGCAGTCGTAGTTCGATTTTTTTTGGAGATTCAAGGAAGATTATTTGGGTTTAACTATTGGGGGGGGCACGCGGAACGCGCGCGCAGTATGCTCGACAAGAAGCCTTCTTCAGCATTTATGAAGGGCTACCGTAACCCAAAAAGGGCGTAAAATGGAGTGCTACGTTGTCGTAATCGTGCACACTACACCAGGCTTCACGCCAAATGCACTGGAACATGCCTGCTTCGGTGGAATTCGTGAAATTGAATGTCTGCTGTATCTGTGGAGCTGAACTCACCAAAAAGACAAATCGTTAGAATAAAGTAGCAAATTCTTAGAACAACTCGTAGTACGTTGACGCGTAAAGCTTGAAGTTTTTCCGCATATATGTATCCTTCCGTTTTAACAGCACAAATTTAATTTTAATTGTTGTATCTGATTTAAATGATCTTAGAACATCCCTCAGAGTTTGCAAATTCCTAGAATAAGTCCTCGGAAGATTTTGAATTTGAATAGATTGTACCTGAAATGGGCTTCGGACATGGTTTTGGATACTTCTTTGTGGGTTCATCGTAGCTAAGCTGTGGTCGAAAGAGTCAAGTTCACAAAGTTCTGAAGATTGCTGACGCCCATCTTACGCTTTAAATCATCAACGCTGAGAAGGCAGAGGAGTGAAATTTTATCATGTGAGAGAGACAAAGCCTACTCAGCAAATCAAGACAAAACGGAATCGATCTCAGTAAGGAGTTACTTTTAATCTTCCCGTTCTCATCAACCTTACGGATCTGAACATTATAAGCGTTTAAAAAAGACTTGACCTCTTAAAGCCAGAAATTAGGCCGAGGTCGCACGCATAATTCAAAGTTCTGGTAGATACATTACACTTTTTGAGGTGCACACCCTTCTTTTCAACCATTTACTTACTTGAGTGTTTACTGTAGGAGGAAGCGCACTGTTCCGTTTTTTAGGAGTTGGCCAATGTAAGTCTTAGAGGAAAGCGCAGACGTCTCACGTTACTAAATTTATTTCAAGATTCTGCACAATTTTGGCAGGCAGAGGTCGCATTGAAGCCGCCCATGAATGTACCATAAAGGGCTAGGACGGAGCTACACTCAGGGAATCTGAGAGTGTATCTCCGTCCTAGCCCCTTTATGGTGCAATTATGGAAATAAATAAAAAAATGAGTTGCAATGCTTTCAAAACGCATGCGCAAGCATATCGCTGGCTTTATCGCTGCCCTACCAATAGAGGAGACATATATAAAGGCGCACATACAGAATCAATACCATAGCACCTGTGATTGCACAGTGTTTCTACTTTACGATTCTTTTCTCATGCGAACTTAAGTTATGTGATGCATAGGTGTGGTGTTACGATGTTTTGCGTATGAATTATTGGATGTGCTGGTGTGTGCGTCATTGTCGCACTATCTGTGGCTCAAAAATGAAAGTCAGTAAGCTTCCCGAATGGCTGTGATTCCTTACCACGCCGCTTGCGTAACTGTAGTAAGCTCTATGAAGCACCACAAGTAACGCTTTGTGTGCTGATGATGTGCAAGTCCAAGATGCGCATCCACACCACTGTGTTGTTGAGAGTCAATATATGATACTCCGTTTACCAAGAGATACAACAGAACACTCCGCGTTTCAAACGCATACAATTAAACGCTCTCATTCCATTATATGAATCCCAATATGGCCTGCGTCCCCTTGGCGTGTTCGTCGTAAAGCTTGGTGTGATGCGTGCGGCGACCGCAGCATAACACCTCAGTTTGCGTCTTTTTTGGGTTACGGTAGCCCCTCATAAATGCTGAAGAAGACTTCTTGTCTTGCCTTATATGTGGAAAGAATTTGAAGGGTGAATTCACGACTGAAAGGAACTCATTTCAAATTGACTTAGCAAT